CCGTCTGTCCGTCTGTCCGTCTGTCCGTCTGTCCGTCCGTTTCTACGCAAACTAGTCCCTCAGTTTTAAAGCTATCTGCTTGAAACTTTCCCAAAAGTTGTCTTTCTATTGCAGGTAGTATATAAGTCGGAACGAGCCGGATCGGGCCACTATATCATATAGCTGCCATATAACTGAACGATCGGAAATGCCATATCTTTGGTGTTTTTAAAGTTAGGAAGTTGGGATTTTCTATGGGTTTTATTTTTGGCTAATAAATCCGACCTCCCAAATTTCATAAGGATCGGACGACTATATCCTATAGCTGCCATATAACTGATTGATCGGAAATGCCATAACATTGGTGTTTGTAAAGTTAGGAGGCTGGGATCTTCTATGGATTTTATATTTGGTTAATCAATCCGACCTACCAAATTTCATAAGGATCGGCCGACTATATCTTATAGCTGCCATATAACTGATTGATCGGAAATGCCATAACATTGGTGTTTGTAAAGTTAGGAGGCTGGGATCTTCTATGGATTTTATATTTGGTTAATCAATCCGACCTACCAAATTTCATAAGGATCGGCCGACTATATCTTATAGCTGCCATATAACTGAACGATTGGAAATGACATAACTTTGTTGTTTTTAAAGTTAGGAAGTTGGGACTTTTTTTAAGTATTAAGAATGCATCATATGAATAATTTTGGAGAATATAATTTATAGAATATTCTGCAAGGGTATATCAACTTCGGCTCCGCCCGAAGTTAGCTTTCCTTTCTTGTTTGAAAATGTTTTTCCTTGGCTTATATAATCCCGGATATATACGCGCTTTAAATATTTTGCGGGTCTGGCTTAGTTTAAGATGCACCTTTTCCATTCAAAATCTTATCATGCCTACTTTTGTCACACCAACCCACAAAATACACACGAATTTTGATTCTATTGTGTAAGGATAAATTTTGTGTTTATCTTTTGGGGCCCGCAGCTTTTACGTCGATTCCGATTGTAATATTGTGTGTTTCTTCCCCTTTTTGGGGATTTTAAAGAGCCTTACAAAAGCCCTCAACTTCTAAGCCAGCATCTTTTTCTGGTTCCGCTTCTGCACTCAGAAAATTCTTCAGCAATATATTCCAAATATTAGAATGGCTTTCCGAAAAAAATAAATATACAATAATCTTAATTACGTCAAATTTTATATTATATTTAAATTAGGTGATTTTTGTAATAATAACAAATTTACAAAAGTTTAGAAATGTTGCTCACATCCCAAAAAAGGATAATCTCTATAACCCTTATGTAATAACAATTTAAATTAATGACCAATTTCTGAGTCCTTTTTTTTCGGTGTTGGGGGGATTTTCGCACATGCCTTGCCATCAATCAAAAGTGCGTGAAATCAAGAATTTATGCCTCATTGGCAGCCTGGGCACGCTCGAGCGCATTAAGCAGATAAAAGCATCAGTCGCAGCAGGTCGACACCGGGAAATCGCATAAAAACCTCAATAAAGGGACGGGAAATGTATGCACAGTCGTCCTGCGGATGGCGGCAAGGTCCTAGGCAACCGCAGGGCAACAAAAACACACATTTTATTAACCGACAAACACGGCCGGGATGTCCCTGACCATTGCCAGGACCACGCACCGCACACTTGGGCCGTTCTTCGGGGACTCCTGCCGCATGACCACAAGTCAGATGCACGTGTAGGCCCACTTGTGGGCGGTGAGTGGACCAGTTGCCCAGGGGGCGGGGCATAAAAATTGCATGGACTTGAAGTTGATTTGAATGTGGCCCCTGAGCAGATAAATATTATCTTACCGCAGTCTATTTGCAATGCATCCACCCATGTCCCAAACACACCTATTGTGGTTCCTGTAGCTGGTGTTACACGTGTCTCCTGCTGCGCAACTGCTGCGGCCCTTGAGGGAATCTCAAACTAGGCCGTGACAAAGCTTCTTTAACTTTAAGAGATGTATGAAAACGGGAGAGGTTCTCATGGCAAATTTGACCTTTAGGTGGCTATTTAATAATACTAACAAAATTAAGGATAGATTCCCGTTCCCCGCAAAAATATCGATGTTTTTCAAACTTATATTCATATTCTCGAGAATCTTTACGCTAGATATGGATTTCCGTATCTAATGTAGTGTTTTAAATAACACACATGTAGTTGGGCTTCTAAAGTGGATCTGATTACAAAACTCAAGAGCTTAAATTAAATAAGATTAAAATTAGGGTTCCTCACTTTTTTAAATGTTAAAGGAACATAAGAACAAATATTTTATTTGAAAAATAAATACTTAAGCTTTGAAATCATGGTTAAAATCACTTTTTAAAAATGAATTATCAAAAACATTGTCAAACTCAGTAAAGAATATTTTATAATATTTTTATTATTTTTGTATATAAATATATGAGCTAATTACTAATGTTTGCATTCCAATTTATAAATAATCCAAAACAACGAGTCACAAATAAACAATTTGGGCTTTTTTTTAAGATCAAAGCAAATTTTAAGAAAACGTATTTCAGTTAGTTCAATCAGTTATTTTTGGCATTCAAAACATTTTTGAAATGATTATATAGAAACTAAAAGGCTAAATAATAACTATTATAAGTAAATGAGTATTTTGCATATGAGTATTTCTATGTGAAAATATTCACGCATGTAAGCAAAATCCACTTCAGTAAATATAAAAATAACTTTCGATTCCTTTTCATAACTTTTGTCAGACAGCACCAGACAGCTTCGAACAAATGATAACAAACAAGTTCAAAATTTCATTTGCGAGTAATAAGGGCGTGTGCCTGTAGATTTCCCAACTCCCCTAGTCCAGGTGCGCAGTGAGTAGCATGGAAAGTAACGGCCCTTTGCCCAACTGCTGTGCGGCTTTAATAGTTGCCACCACTGTGAGCTGGCCAAACATTTCAACCCTCCACAGGGCGAAATCAACGCACGGCAGATGTGCGAGTTGAGTGATCGCGGCACAGGACATGTTTAGTGGCGCAGGACATATGCGGGATATCCCGTGCTCGCGCTGCCCTCTAAATTTCTTCCTGGCCCTCCGCAGATCCACCCCGGGTGCAACCGAAAATGTTTGTTTGATTACAAGCCAACGTGGAAACAGAACAAACTTCCATATATCCCGAATTCAGTTGGGGTGAGTGGGTTCGGTGCTGGGTTTGTTGCACTTTCCGTACTCGCCGGTACAGTTATTGTTGGTTTTATGGCTGCTCTTGTTTACATGATTCCATATGCTGCGCATTTCCTTGATGAAAATTTAAAGCATAAATTGTTGCTTTTGTTTCCTGAAAATATTTGTCGAATGCAAAGAGCAAATAAAATGGAAACAATATTACTATATATATATTTATAACGTTTACCTGCTGGCCAAATGCAATCGCATAACAACATAGTTTTAACAAAGGCATTCAAGAGATACAATTTAGTTGAATAAAAATGCCTTTTTAGTTATCGCACATTTTTGGCTTAGGACACTTGGGCGTTCTTCTGGCGACTTAGATATTTTAATATTATAAAGTGAGCCACTGAAGGCAAACAATTCAATTTCAAATTGAATTTCTCAATCAAACGTGTGGTCAGATGTTTAAAAATTTATTGCCAGATTAAGATATGTTATTCTCTACATATCTTATTCTTTACATTTCTTAATCTGGCAAGAAGGGAAATATTCTTGCATTGGCAAGCAAGCTTCGATTATTTGTTTTCTAACAACACTGAATTAACTCAATATTTAAAAACCATTTAGCACGTTTAGCAAAGAATGTAAACATTAAACATTTAATATTTTATCTCAAAGTTTTAAGTGTTTTTTGTTTTTAATATTTGCCATTGGAAGAATTTAAGAAACTTTTATTGACCAATGATGTTAATAAAAATCGGTATATGTTTTATTAGTAATTAAGCCTTCTTGGTTTGCTTGCCATAACAAACTGAACCTTATTTGTTAAAAATAGAAAGAAAGCGGAACCTTTGAATGCAGGAAGTGAAAGAGGCTTAGAAGACAGGGATGTTGACCTCGTTCAGTTTATCCCCTAAGCGGAAATTGTTAAGCAACTTACTCGCCTTCAGCGCGTCCATTCACTTACCCATTCATTCACTCACTCACCGACTTACTCTTGCCTTGATTCATTCACTTATTCGTTGGTCATGCAAATCCCTGGCACACAAATTTACACCTTGGGTGCAGTTTGCAAAGCCCCGGGATAATCCGCATTAGTTGCAGAATGCAGACGGCCACAGACACCGAATGAGAATGAGACCGGACCAGGAGGCCAAATCCACCCGATCCGACAGGACCATGTGGCTATAGGGCTTAGTCTCCTTCCTCCCGCTAACTGGTGCCATTACGCTGTTTCTACGACTGCGGAAGGGAAAAAGGCAAATTGAATCGTGTTTTGTCGAGCATTTCATTTCGGAATTTGTCAAATGTCGACTATGTACAGACTGGCTTCGATCCTAAAAGTCCTAAAAACCCCAAACAGAAACAGAAACCAATAAAATATGTATGTTTTGTCCATCTCCCAATGCCCACTGCCCAATGCCCAATGCCCCATGCATATTGCAATTTTAATTTTTCAATTCATTTTATGTAGAATATCTGTCCGAGTCGATGTTTTTACGCCCTGGCAACTGGATTCTGAGCCGCAGGGGTGCCACAAATAACAAATTGCTTGTCATTGGCATTGCCAGAGTCGACCCCATCCTCGCAAGGCCTTAGACAGGGCTTTTACAATTTGAATCTCGATTAGAATTCATTGAGTTCCCGGCATTAGTTAGCCATCAGCCTCTAAGCACGCACAGTGGATCGAAGTTGAGCGTTATGTGGATAATATTTTTACTAGTACTTTTCTTTGGCTAAGCCCAGTAGTTGCTTTTTTTAATACAACAAAAATTATCAAATGTCCTATGTTAAATGAGGTTTTCGTGAGTTCAAATAGATTTGACCTTATTGAAATATCCTTGAAAAACTAGCCAATAAATACAAGTACCTTGTGGCCGCTAATTTTTATTGAGCTTCAATTTGGAGTTGCTGGACAAGACTTAGGACCTTTCTGCGCTGCAGCTTGTCGTTGGGGGTTTTTGGCAGACTGTCAATGAAATAGACTCCTCCTCGAATGTGGTATGCTCCGCTCAGGTGCCGTTCTACTATGCTCCTGATTTGGTCTGCCGTAAGTCGTTCACCTTCCAGGCTTTGAGTTCGGACGACGGCACAGGCAGTGAGATTGGTAGAAGCCTCGTCGGGAATTCCAAAGACACAGGCCTCACTCACCCCGGGCAACCTCAGGATGAACTCCTCGATCTGCTCGGGGTAGATCTGGAAGTTGTTGAACTTGAAGACATCCGTGTCTCGTGTCTGAATGTACAGGTAGCCCTCGCTGTCGAGGTAGCCAATGTCCCCGGTCCGGAACCACATGCCATCTGAGCTAAGGGCTCTCCTCGTGGCCTCCGGATTTCGGTAATAGCCCTCCCACTTATATCGCAAACGGGCATAGACAATGCCCACCTCGTTGATTCCCAGTGGCATTTTCAGTTTGTCCAGAACGCGCAGCTCCACATTTCGCATGACCTTGCCCTCGCAGCCCACTGGCCCTCCCACGTTTTTGCTCAGACCCCCCATTTCAGACAGTCCGTAACCCACGATGAACCTCTGGCTCCCAATCAGCTCGTACATTCGACGAGACACCGCCTTACACACTTTGGATCCAGCTCCAATCAGAACCCGAATCGATTGAAGCTGAGCCTTCAGCTCCGTCAGATCGCTGTCATGTTTGGAGAGCAGGGCAATCTGGTGGGAGGCCAGGAACAGGAAGGTCACCCCGTGATTAGCCACCAGTTGGAGCAGGTACTCCACACTATAGGGTCGATTGGTGATGATGCGACGACAGCCGTTGAGGAGGGAGGCCAGCAGGATTATGGTTCCCGATATCCAGTAGAGAGGACTGAACGAGAGTAGCACGCTGTCTCTGGTGTAAGTGTTCGGACTGTAATTGGATAATATTTTCCGTATGTCCATTAAATTAATATGTGTGTTATTAAAATGTAACAAGAAAAAGGTTAAATATCTTGCAAAAGGTCACAAAATTCTTTCTAGAAATTGTCTTCATTATTAAATTTGTTTTGGAGTAACTGTGCTAGATGTGGCACCGATTATTTTAATTGCTCAATTCAATAAGATTAAAAACGTATGAAAATAAAAAACTGTCCAGGTATTTTAGTATAGGTACACATTTCATACACATTTCATTGATACTTACTTTTTGCAATTGCAAAGTAAACTGCGATGGGATCGTGTTACACCCTTGGGCATTCCCGTAGTTCCCGAGGAGCACACAATGAAGGCCGTGTGATCACCGTGCAACTTTGGACAGGGTACATAACTAAAAGGGAAAGAATTCAAAATTTGCATATTTATTCAGAAAGAAACTAAAAACTTACGCAGCAGCTGTGATGCATTCGTCATCATTAAGCAGCATGGTGATATCTAGCACTCCTTCTAGTTGTCCATTGACCAGATAAATCTTGGCGGGATTCATCAATCTCTCATTAACCGACTTTATTATGTGGTAGTTTTCCACATCGCAAAAGATTACCTTCGGTTCGGTAATGTCGTACATGTACTTGACAGTCTCTGAAAATGAATTGTATAATATATTTAAGATATTTTGCAATTAGCAACAACGATAACTTTTTCTTTCTTAAAGTACAGTATACTCTTTAAGCTGGTTGTATATCTTCAGAAATAAAGAGCTTTATAGTTAAGTGTCCTAAATATTAGATTCCCGCATAAAACGGCTTTGTTACAAAATGTTACATATTCTGCTAGCCAATCATTTTAATCGATATATGTAAGTGGGAATTACATTAGTCTACAAATTCGATTCGAATTCTCCAGTTTTGATGGTATCAAAAAAAATCTTTGCTGATTCAGATAGACAGAAATGCAGAAACCAGATATGGTTTGAAAAGAACGGCAGTTGATGCTAACACCTATTCTATCAATAAACTTGTTTGCTCTACAAGTAATGGAATGACAAATGTGCAACGTGTTATTCGAGTTTTTAAATCACACGAAACTGTTTACCAAAAACCAATCGTCTTACCTTCTGCGAACTCCGGATGCAGTGGGTTAATGGGGATACCCCGGAGCAGGGCCGCGATGACCACGCTGGTGAGGTAGGTGGAGTTGTTCGCCGAGATCCCGACGACATCGCCCCTTCGCAATCCCAACCGCTTGAAGCTCTGCGCGATGCGGGCACTCTGCTGAGCCAGCTGGCCGCCGGTGAGCTCCTGGCCCGTGGGATCGCAGTGCTGCATCACCTTGTCAGCGTTGATCTGCAGTACGCGCATGATGACCTCGCCCAGGGTCATCTCCGGACCGTAGAAGTCCTTGCCCCGCGGTCCGAACCAGGTCCGCGATGCGGCATCGTAGTGCACCTCGCAACTCATAGTGCTTCCTAACGACTGGCGAACGAATAAGTGCTTTATTGCGCCTCATTTGGGTTTTATATGGCCCACAGACTACGGGAAACAAAGCGGAGCTGTTAATTAGTCGGGCACGCCAGTGTCAACTAAAATAGATGCTTATTTACTCATTGGCATGTCAGGCCCGCTTCTGGATCCGCTAATCAAAACCAGCACTCCACCAGACATGGCAGATATGGAAACTTTTTAATCTTCGACCACTCTTCGGATGATTCACGGTGTTTACTTTTATAAAGCTCTACAACAGCTGACGTTTATTATATTGAGAAGATAAGCTTACAGATGGGTGGTTGCCTCACTCAACTCCGGCCAGATTCTCCTGCGCTGCACCTTGTTGTTCTGCGTCTTCGGTAGATCGTCCACAAAGAACACGCCACCGCGGATGTGGAAAGCTTCGCTCAGGTGTTGCTGCACAATTGCCTTGACATCCACATCGGTTAGCTGCTCACCCAGCTCATTTTTATCCCGCACCACAGCACATGCTGTGAGATTGGTGGAAACCTCATCGGGAACCCCAAACACAGCCACTTCGAGGATGCCTGGCAGGTGGAGAATTACGTCCTCGATTTGCTTGGGATAAATGGGGAAGTGGTTGTACTTGAAGACATCGGTGTCACGGGTCTGGTAGTGCAGGCATCCGTCGTCATCGAAGTACCCGTGATCCCCGGTGAGCAGCCACTTCCCGTCGGGCGTAATGGTCACCTGGGTATCCTGTGGGTTGTGATAGTAGCCGCCCCAGCGAAGGTTGAGTCTCACGAGGATCTGACCCGTCTGGTTGGGACCCAAGGACTGACCATGTCCATCGACCAATCGCACCTGAATATTTCGCAGTAGCTTGCCCTCACTGCCCAGCGGACCTCCCACATTCTTGGAGATTCCTCCGATCTCGGTGAGGCCGTAGAGCACGGCAAACCTGTCCGCACCCAGTAATTCGTACAACTGCCGCCAGATTCCCAGTGGAACCTTCGAGCCACTGCACACGAAGGACTGGACGGACTGCATCTTGGCTGCCAGCTCCTGTCTCTCAGGACTCTTGGCCAGCAGGGCCATGTGGTGGGGCACTGTGAGGACAAAGGTCACCTGGTGTCGCTCCACCAGGTCCGCAAAGTATTCCACACTATAAGGACGATTGGTAATGATCCTGCGACATCCGTTGACCAGCGAGGCGAGCAGGGTGAAGATGCAGCTTATCCAGTAGAGTGGACTGATGCAGAACAACACTGTCTCCGAGGTGAACAGCTGGGGGCTGATACATGATCCATTAGGGGTCTTATAACAAAAGTAGGAAACTAGCTTCTACTCACATTTTGGCACTGTTCAGGAGACTGCGATGCGAACGGGTTACGCCCTTGGGCAAACCGGTTACACCCGAGGAGGTGATGATGAAGGCCGTGTCGTCGCCACTCAAGTGCGGGCAGGCAAAGCTGCAAGATCAGGACTAGCTTAGAGGGTTGATTCAAACGTCTGGGAGGAGATCTACGTACAGGGTTTTCTCGTCGTATCCAGTGCAACCATCTGCCAACAGATCCTGAATGTTGCGAACTCCGGGCAGAGTTCCAGTGAGCAGGATGATCTCCGTCTTGAACTTGAGACTGCTTTTGACCGCGCTCAAGGTCTGGTAGTTGTCCAGATCGCAGAATATAACCTTGGGCTTTGTGATCTCGTACATATACGCCGTGGTTTCTGGGGAGTGATGTTATGTAAATGTTTATATAAAGGTATATAATGTGGTGACGTAGCGTAGCTTTTAAGCTAGTTGCAATCGAGCTTGCCAAGTGAAAGTATGTTTTGGAATTCGTCTATACATCTATATTCACTAGATATTAATGTGCCAATTTACCAGGGTCAAAGTCCGGATGCAGTGGGTTGATGGGTGTTCCATTCAACAGGGCTGCGATGACCACTTCAGTGAGATAGGTGGTGTTCTTGGCCGAAATGCCGACTACATCGCCGCGTTGCAACTTCAGACGTTGGAAGGCGTGGGCCAAACGGCGACTTTGGTCCAACAACTGACCACCTGTGAGCTCCTCGCCCGTTGGATCGAAAACCTGCATCACCTTGTCCGAGTAGAGACGCAAAATGATCAGGGCCACTTCGCCCAGTGTCATATCCGGACCGTAGTACTCCTTGTCTTTCGGGCCCGACCATATCTTTTCGAAGCTGTCATACTTGGTGGCCGCCATTTGGCTCTCTTGATTCCTGTTAGCTGGTCGATTGGACAAAACAAAGCTGCCACACACATCAACTGAGTTTTGGCGAGTGTGGCCTGGCCTATATATATAGGGCACCTCAGTCGACGGCTTGAAGGTGTCAGAACTAGATGTGCGACCTGCTAATTGCCCCAGCACGTTCTACATACCCACACCCGTGTGCCCACATACCCGATTCTTTAGGCGTCGCTTCGCTTCTAATAAACTTTGGCGACAGTTGGTGCTGCCAAATTGTCAGGTGCGTTTGGCCTGAATGCTGACATTGGTCAAATCGGGATGAAATGACAGCTTTATAAAGCACAACTCTTCAGATCTAGAAAAATTTGTATGCTTTGTGAAGTGCTTCAAGTTTTGTTTAAATTAAACTACTTATAAAAGTGGGCAGTAAACTTCGTTAAAAAAAATAAATCTGAAGAACTATAAAATGGCCTTACGTTTTTTAAATAGCCAAATGTCAAACCAAAAACTATTTCGGATTCTTCCTATTCCTATTTAATTTAGTAAAAGTCTATATGTGAATCTCAAACCACTGTTCCAGTCTTTGCCCACCGTCTGGAAATTGCATAATTTCAACGATTAAACACGGTTTGAGCTTCATTCGCTCGCTTTCCCCATCTGTGTCTGTCTGAATGTTCCTGTCTCCAAGCTCTTGCTCCACGGTTGTCTCCACGTGCCACGATTCCTGGTCCTCGTAGTCGGTCAGGTGGATATATACGCATCCCAGCTGTATATGTATAACAGGCATGTGCAACCGCAGAGAGATAGAGTCGCATCCTTGATGGGCACACGCTTCATTTGCGTGCTTAGTTAGGAAATCAAGCGTATGGCTGCGGGACTAGTGGGATGGATGATGGGCTGAAAGGAAAGGAGGGATGTTCGGGCGGAACTTAAAATGCAAGGTGCATCCACCCGGGGGGGAATGGAGGCTTAAACTTCGATTCGTGTGGGCGGGAAAAAAGTTGTTCTACATCGACGGACGGAAGTTAGGGGCGGTGGGCGTGGCAAAGATAGTTCTCCTCGGTGGTGAGTGGAAAACTCGGATTTGCCTCGACCGGGCTGATTCATTGATTTCGCTTAAATTCGCTTGATGCAAGAACTAAACTTAATTAATTACGCGGTCGGCAGAAATGTGCAACAAACTGGAGAGAGTTAGGGAGGTGAAAAAGTGGCTACGAAGTCTGATCAGCAGCTAATAAAAGTTTCTAGCAACTTTTTTATAGCCTTTTGATGACCTGAACTAGACTGAACAAAACAGGGCGGCTTGCAAACAACTTGGGCCACATTTAACTAACTTGAAATCTCGGCAATTAACTGAAAGTCACCAACGAGGGAGCAGAGTCCGAGAGTTGTAGACGCCGACATGGCAAATGTAATCAGGCCCAACATTATAATTAACCGCAAAATGCAGTTGCGGGTTTTTCTCAACCACCCCCCCACCGCCCTCATCCCGCTGGTCGTCCATTAAAACTTTTACGACAAGTAGGCGAAAAAAATTACTTAATTAAAATGATTGACTAAACAGAAAAGTTTGTGCGAAATCATTTTTGCTTTTTTTCCCCCGTAACTAGCTGGGCATACTTTTCCGGAACAATAGTTTCTTCCGGTTGTGGTGCTCTATATATATATCTCGATCTCGCTCTCTCGCTCGCACAGTAGCCCTTGCTCTTTTGCGCTTATTTATTGTTTGCCTTTTGCCGGAGGCTGTGAAATTTTTCTGTAGGAAATGTTCGAAGCGGAGGGTCTCCGCGAAAACCTTAGATGCGACAGCAGCTTGTTGTTCGTCTAACAAATTAACGAACGCCTCGAGTGTTGTTGCGTGCTATCCCCCTCTCCTTTGCTCTGCATCTCCCCTTCTCGCTCTTTCGCTTTGGATTGAGGCAAGAAAACTTTGAAGTGTTAATGAATTGAGCGGCAGCGGGAGCGGGATAGCGAGATGGGGCGAGGGAGAGGGCATGATGGGCAGAGTAATGACCGTTGGCCGCTTTTGTGGTCAATTTTCTGGTAATTGAAGTTATGATTTAATTTAATTTGCCACAAAAGTGTTGACAGTCAGATAAGAATCAAAACAAAAAGTTGAGGGAAAGAACGCGTAGAAGGAAGAAAAATAAATGCCCTTTGGGGACTAAGCTTGAATTAAATCTAGTAAGAGTCCTTAAACGTGTTCGTTAGTAATAACTTAGGTAAATAGACTTAGGTAAATTAACTCCACCAGAAAATGTTGAGAAAAGTATGCTATACAAATTTCGGTCTGAATTGGATAATGTAAATATCAACATTATACACAGACATTACTTACCTTTACCTTTTGTCCTTGTATTCAAGGCTTGTGTTGTTCCCCTTTAAGCGTGTAATTTAACTAATTAACTTCAAATCCAAGATATGCAAATTATATTTGAGTAATCAGTCGAACAGATGATTCGATGCTCAGCTGAATAATTCAATTGAGATTATGCAATGTGGCATTTAATAATTTACAAGTGAGAGATGTGTTTTAGGCGTCATTACAAATCGTTACAACACTAATAATCCGTCCAAATGACTCATTAACAATTAACAATTAATTAGAGCGCCTAATAGACGTTCTCATGTGATGAAGAGTGCCTGCAATCACACACATGTGCATAAACAAACACTCACCCATATGCATAATAAATGTGATGGAGAATGGAGGTCCTATTTTACTGCAATTTCGAAACTGCCTTTGTGTGCTGGCCACAAAACCAATTACACACTCGATTCGAAAGCGTTTTTGCTTTGGGCCAAACTCGG